GTCCAGCGGTCACCACGTGGGCATCCGAGACCCCCCTCTCCTCCAGGTTAGCCGTCTCCCACCTTGGCCACTTTAAGCCTGGCAGACTTCAACTCCCAGAATTCCCCAGCCAGCAAAACTTTAAGCCTGGCGGGGGATTCTGGGAGTTGAAGTCCTCCGGGCTTAGAGTGACCCCTGCTCCAGAGGCCCCTCTCGTGGCCAAGGTTTGCCAAGGGCCAGTTGCCCACCACAGCCTAACCCCAACCCCCGACCTCCCCCCCCCCGCTTGGAAGGCTGGTGACTTGTCTGGGGGGGCGCTGGGGGTGGGTGGGAAGGAGGGTCAGAGGGCAGGAGCTCGGTGTGTGGGTGTGTTTGGGTGGGGGGGGTCAGGGCAATACTGACGCTGCAGCTGCCTCCATTCCTGCAGGGGCTGCTGTCGCATTCGTTGACTTCCACCTCGCAGTTGGTGCCCAGGAAGCCTGCCGGGCAGGTGCAGGTGTAACTCCCTTGGCCCGTGTTGGTGCAGGTGGCCCCGTTCTGGCACGGGTGGTGGTTGGTGCAGTAGTTGAGGTCCTGGTTGCAGAAGAGCCCCCCCCAACCCTCCTGGCAGTTGCACTGCCAGGGCTGCAGGCAGGTGCCATGCAGGCAGCCAGGGTAGCGCACACAGGAGTCGCAGGAGGGGCCCTGCCAGCCGATCCGGCACTTGCACTCGCCGGGCTTCTCACAGTAGCCGTGGCTGCGGCTGCACTCGGCCAGACAGACGGCTGCAGGGGGGGAAGGAAGGAGGCCAGCGGGGCAGGTGGGGGGAGAGAGAGAGAGAGAGACAGAGACGGAGAGAGTTGGCATCACTGCTGGGCAGATAGCAGTTGTGCCAACCTCCAACCGTGCCAGCTTGCCACCTCCCCAAAGCAAAGGACCTTCGGGGGGGCTGGGTTGGGCTGGACCACGTGCCCCCTTGTCCCCCACCATTCCTTGGGAGCAAAAGTGGAGGTCCTGGGGGATAAAGGGGGGGGCCCCGCCCCACCCGCAATCCCCCCCCCCCCCCCGTTCCCAGGAACGAAGGAGCCCACAAAGAACTGGCCTGGCCCTCCCTAATTCCCCCCCTTTCCCTAATGACCCTCCCAGAAACTTAACCAGCCCCTCCCTATGCCAAGGCTGGGGGGGGGATTTGTCCCTCAATTAAGCCCCCGGGGGTGGGGGTGGAGGAGGGGGCATTCTGGCAGCCGAGATCTATTCCCACGGAGAGGGACTAGCCGAAACAGCGCTGAGCAGGTTTTTCTGTCCACATGTCGACCCTTCTGGTTTCCCCTTCCCAGAGATGAAGACTTTGGGGGGGGGGGCTTTGCCCCCCCCCCCCCCCAGCTTCCCAGCATCTCCTCTGGGTGTTTCAGGGAGGGGGGAGCAGAGCCCACATGCAGCAGGTGGGAAATTATCAAGGTGAGATTCAGCTTAGAACTAAGGAGAAATTTCCCGATAGCAAAGTCGGGAAAAATGGAGGAGACTGCCTGGAATTAAGGAATGGAACTGTAATTAAAAGGAACTTACAGTGAAATTTTAACAAGATTCCTGAAAGATACATATTAATGGAAATTTGGTAACAAAATAATAGAACCACAGGAAGAGAAAGTGGAAAAGAGAAGCAAGTAGAAACAGCCTTGGACTATTTCGATTACTTGGTGATTTTTGGTTTTTGCATCTAGATGACTAAAATTAACTGGGTGGTTGTTTAAAAGTTTTTAAAATGGTATCACTCTTAGAAGAACTGAAAACGGAACTTTAAAAATGGAAAGAAGATGCACAAGAAGGAAGAAGTTCTTTTGGCTTCGTGTTTCAGTTCTTAGAAATGGAGATCTGGAACTATGAGAAGCAGCAAGAAATGCTTGCAGAACAAGAAGACTGCGACAAAGAAGAAGCCGTCTTTAATGATCAAATAGTTTTAAGTGGGGGGAAAAAAGAAAAGGGGGGAAAGAGAGTGAGAGGTTTAAGATTAGAAAAAACAACCAAAAAGAAGAAGAGCAATTTGAAAGATAAGTATAATATTAGAAAGCAACAGAAGAGGGGATTATAGATGAGAGAGTTAGAAGTAGAGAGACGAGGGGGTAAAAAGGGGAGGGAGAAGAAGATGGGGAAGAAGGCAAGGAAAAGAAGTTGAAAAAGACAGAAACAAGAAATGGAGAAACAGGGAAAAGATATAAGGATTGTAGCCATAAGTTTGTTTAGAGATAATGGGTGAAAATTTAATTGTAAAAGGGATTCTGCAAAGGTAGATAAGATAGCTTTGTTATATTACAAATAGAAATAACTTTAGAAAATATGATGATGGATAAAATATTTATTGTAATGCAGTGGGATGTTTGTTAATAAATACATGCATTAAAATGATTGAGAGAATTAAAAGGGAACATTTTTAATTATTAGTAATGATTTATAAAAATACATGAGAAATATGGGGAAAAAAGAATTAACTATGGAAAGTTGATAAGTGTTCCCAAGGAAGTATGATATTTAATTGAAAAGAAATGTTAAAAATGTTAAGATTTTAATGCATATTAATGATAGAATTGAATTGGAATGGAATGTGTTTTATTTACATATATATATAATTTTTTCTTTTTAAGAATATAGTCTCTATTTTAAGAATGTACCAAGCAGAATTCGATTGGAAGTTATGTATTATACTGAATGCTATAATCTTAAAGCTATACATTGAAGCTTAAATAAGAGCTTGAATGGATAAAATTAAAGGATATAAAGGTGTCATACTCTAATTGGTAACTACAGGGAAAAATTTGTTTAATAAGAAAAGATAATGTGAAATTGTAACAGGACAGACAAAAGTATAAATATAATGATTTGAATTGAGATAATTAAAACAAAGTTGAGAAAATTAAAAGAGGGGAAAAACTATGTAGAAAATATAAAACGGTAATAAGATATGGAATAGAATATAAAAATGAGCATGAAATCGAGTTTTGTGTCTGTATGAAGAAGTGATAACCTGGGACCATGCTACTTTCAAAAAAGATGTTTTATTTGTATTTTGTTTTTGTGAAAACCCAAATAAAATTTTCAAAAAGAAAAAAAATGGGGCTGGGGTATTTGTCGGAGGGCTCACCTAGGCCTTGGGGGCTATATGTCTAAGGCAGAGGTCTCTGAACTTGGCAAACTTTAAGACTTGTGGACTTCAACTCCCAGAATTCCTCAGCCAGCCATGCAGTGTTGGCTGAGGAATTCTGGGAGTTGAAGTCCACAAGTCTTTAAGTTTGCCAACTTCGGAGACAAGGGCTCTATTGGGTCTGGGGGCTTTGTCTCAGGGTCCAACTGGGGGCAGACCAGGGAGCTGGAGCCCCTGGGGGTGGGGGCGGGGTGGGGGCTGTCCCTTCCTCACAGGAACCCCTTCCCAGCTACTCACGTTCTGAGCAATAGTCGCCCTGCCACCCGGCTAGGCAGATCCGGCGGCCCAGTTCGTCACAGGTGTAGTGGCCGAAGGTGTCGTCCCGCGGCCGGCAGTAATCGGAGCAGCTCTCCCCGTAATAGTGCTCGTCACAGGTGACGTGGTAGGAGTAGCGCAGCTCGCTTTGATCGCCCAGCTGCACATCTTGCGACCACTCCTCACCCACTGCCAGGCGACGGCGGGTCGCCAACCGGCTGATCAGCCTCTGGGCATCCTCTGAACGAAGAAAGAAGGGAGGGTGAGCAGGCCCTTAGAAAGGAAAGAAAGGCAGAGAGACCCCACCAGAAAGTAGCTAACAGCCTCTAAACTAATGTTTCTCAGCCTTTGCAACTTTAAGATGCAACTTTAAGCCAGCTGGGGAATTCTGGGAGTTGAAGTCCATGCATCTTAAAGTTGCAAAGGCTATTAAAGCTGGAGAATTGTTATAATTTTGGCTAGTGGATTCTGGGAGTTGAAATCCACACCTCTTAAAGTTGCAAAGGCTATTAAAGCTGGAGAATTGCTATGATTTTCTTTTTTAAAAATTAAATTTTTATTCAACAGATTTTACAATTGAAAACAAATTTCCATTCATTGCAGTGCATTTGTACTAGCGTTCAGTCACTTTGACATATTCTGAAGTATGTAGAATATTACTAAATATTATTACAATTATTTTACGTTCAATTCATATCATATTTTCATAAATTTACATAATTATTTACATAGTTATACTTATTCATACCATATCATTTCTGGGAGTTGAAGTCCATGCATCTTAAAGTTGCAAAGGCTATTAAAGCTGGAGAATTGTTATAATTTTGGCTAGTGGATTCTGGGAGTTGAAGTTCACTGTAACCTTTCATTCACCTGTGTCTACCTTGCAACCAATTATTGCTATGAATTGCTATGATTTTGTCTAGGGGACTCTGGGAATTGATGTCCACACATTCTTAAAATTGCATGGATATAAGGAAAGCCAAACTGGGGTGGCGACTCCCTTCCCTCAGTAGCATTTGAAAAAATACCAATTAAATAGGCAAGCTGACAAAAAACTGAACCAGGGAATGATTCAATTTATATGCCACCCATCTCATCTGGCAGGGAGTCTAGACTGCGCTTCTTAAAATTATATTCTGCAGATGTCCCTGATGAGAAGATAAGGGACCAAAGCACCACTTTTTCTGCAATGGGCTGGTTTTGAAATTGTAAGCCCTTCACAGGCTGTAATGGCTGGGTGCCCAACCCAGCCTGTTGAATTATGGCCTATAATAATACAAGGAATCAACCGCCCAACCCATAAATTTTGATTTAAAATGAAAGAAGAGCCCATTCCCTCCTAGCACTGATGATGTTGCCTAGTTTGGTAATGAGACGTCCGCAAGAAAACCACCAAGCTCAGAGAGCACCAAGGACCCCACAATCTATTGCTCTTTTAAAAAATAAAGGAAACCTCCATGTCAAAACTTGCTAGAAACAGAAAAGCTTTTTTTATATATATATTTGCAGACTCACAGTTTAATTCTCCTTCCATCAATTTCTTTTTGCAATTTGCCTTGGCAAGCGATCCCTTCAATCGTTTTACAGTTTGATCACAAAGACGGGGTGTGAAAGACCCACAAACGGGAGGAGACTTACCTGTGGATGGCTCTCCGGAGTCAGCCCTCCAGGATTCGATAATGAGGGAAAAAGTGCCCTGGAACAAAAAAAGAGGGGGAAAAAGAGAAAAAAACGTTACAAAATCCTGAAAGGAGGAAAGAGACAAGTAACAACAATTCAGATGTGTTGACAAGGGCTCTACAACCATTGCAGTGGCTCCTGTTAGAGGCTCTTCCGACATGAGCCAAAATGCTGCCTTTTAACAGAATAATAAAGTCAGAAGGGACCTTGGAGGTCTTCTAGTCCAACCCTCTGCAGGAGACCCTAGGCCATTTCAGACAAGTGGCTGTCCAGTCTCTTCTTGAAAACCCCCCGTGATGGGGCACCCACAACTTCTGGTGGCAGGCTGTTCCACTGGTTAATTGTTCTCATTATCAGGAATTTCCTCCTGAATTCCAGGTGGCTTCTCTCTTTGATGAATTTCTGTCCGTTGCTTCTTGTCCTGACTTCAGGGGTCTTTGGAGAAGAGCTTGACCCCCTCTCTTCTTTGGGGCAGCCCCTCAAATATTGGAAGAATCCTACCGTATTTTCCCTAATCCTTCGCTTCGGTTCTCTTCGCTCTTTCCATTTATTTATTTTTTGTCTCAAAGGGGTTTTGCAAAAGGCAACTGGACTGTTTTTTCTTGCTAGGGTCCTTAAGTGAATCACTGCAGCTATTAAGTTGGGAACACAGTCGTTAAGTGAATCCGGCTTCTCTACTGACTTTTGCTCATTGCAAAAGGTCGTGACCCTGGGACACTGCAACAGTCATAAACACGAGTCCATTGTGAATCATCTGGATTTTGGTCATGTGACCACAGGGATGCCATAATGGCCATAAGTGTGAAAAACGGTCATAATTCACTTTTTTTTGATGCCCTCGTAACTTTGAATGAATATGAGGTGTTTTAAGGCTACCTGTATAATTATAAGCCAACTTTGTGGAAGTGGGCAAACTCTACATTGAGGGCATAAAATGCTGAATTGTCTACTATGGAGTGCAAAACATCAGCAACAAACCAGACAAAGGCAATGTTAGTTCCAAAGACTAAGCCCTCATTGGCTGAAACATGGTTTGCTCAGAGCAAATGTCTGGGTTTATGAAACATGACAACCATTGACTAATGCAGGGTTGTCCATCCTTGGCGACGTTAAGGCTTGTGGAGTTCAACTCCCAGAATTCCACAACGCTTCAAGCTGAACTAACCAGGCAAAGTTACCTTCTACGCTAAGGGTCTTCCAACTTGTCCACTTTAAGGCATGTGATGGTCCCAGAATTCCTGAGCTAACATGACTGGAGGAGGAATTCTGGGAGTTGAAGTCCACAAGTCTTCAAGCTGTCAAGTCTGAAGAGTCCTGCGCTACACGAAGCGGAGTGGAGATCGGTGCTTTCCGGCTTGCCCCACTAGGGGGCAGCACCTCCCCATCTCCGAGTTATTCCCAAGATGGACGGACCACTGAAATACATCCTGGTCAAGAGTTAAAAAAGTTGATAAAGTCTTTTTTTTTTTTCTTATTAAGACATTAAGATTTGCCACTCGAGACATGGCAAGTCACTCTGGTTAGGAACTCAAGGATTTGTGCAAATTCGCCATCAGACAAGTGAAAATTGTCGCACTGTGAAGACGCCGCTCTACCCAAAGGAACTGGCAGTTTCCAAGTGTGTGCAGAAACACACACACACACACACACACACACAGAGACAAGTATTCCACGGCAAAACCAGAGTTGTGACTTCCGATGTTTAAATATTCCCTTCTCAATTTCCTTTCTCCCCCCCCTGCTCAATCTTCTTTTCCAAAAGATTAGGTCAAAAAAAAAAAAAAAGGAAGCAGAGGAGTTTATTTATTTATATCCTGCCTTTATTTAGTTTTTACAAAGTAACTCAAGATGGACAAACATCTCTAACTTCCTTCTTCTATTTTTTCCTACAGCAACAACCCTGTGAAGTGGGAGTGACCGGCCCAAGGTCACCTAGCTGGCTTTCACGGCTAAGGCAGGACTAGAACTCCCCACCTCCTGGTGACTGACACAAAAACACCCCCCAGCTTTCATCTCTAGGGCAGGACTAGAACTCACCACCTCCTTGTGAATGTCCTAAAGTCACCTAGCCAACTTTTGTGCTTCGGGGCAGAACAGGGAAGCTGAAATTTTCGCCTGGTCAAGAGAGTTTAGCCCATACCAACTGACAGCCCCCCCCGCTCAAATTAAACTGTAAGTTACGGGCAAGTCCATGACCCCCCCACCCATCCTTGGAAGAAAATAGGTGAGGTGACTTCTCCAAACAGTGGCAAGACCCATCTCCCATCTCGCCTTCCCTTCTTCCAACTTTTGCGCTGTGCATAGAAGTAAGAGCCCCACATTCCAAGCCAGGAAGGCACCCCAAACTGAAGGGCAGTAAACACCCCCCCCCCCAAGAAAAGTGACAGGAACCACAAGGAAGCAAGAAAACACCACAGAAGGAGCCATGGGGGGAACACAGTCCCAAATCCAGAGTCCTTGGCCTACGTGATAGGCGACAAATAAATCCCACCCTAAATAAGAATAAATAAATAAAACACCCTGGGGCTCCAGGTTTGCTGCAGGGGAAGAGAACAGAAGACAAGGCCAGATCTGGTGGGGGGGGGGGACACGTGGACGGGGGATCTCACCGGCCACTTGAAGTGGAAGGGGACACGGATGAGTCCGCTGGCTGCCACGGCATGACGATCCGCAGGGACGATGTTGCTCAGGGCTGCCCCGAAGGTGCAGGGGGGCTCCGGGGAGACCACAGCCTGGGCGTGTTTGAGGCAGACCCGGAAGAAGAGGTGGCAGGGCTGAGCCCCCCGGCAGAATTTCTGGGGGTTGCTGGTGGTGAAGGAATGCACCTGCAGTTCAAAGACCCCCGCTGGCTCAGCCTGTTTGGGGAGAAAAAGGGGGAAATGAGCGTTTCAGTCAAGCCTGCCTCCCATTGGTCATCGCTCCGTCTGTGGGTCACCCCAAGAGAGGACAAAGACCAGACCCCCCCCCCCTTGGGTTAGATCAGGAGTCCCCAAACTTGGCCACTTTAAGACGTGTGGACTTCAACTCCCAGAATTCCCCAGCCAGCCAGCCGTGTCCATTTCTTTTTCTCCTCTCCCCCAAAGAGGAAAGATTGCAGAGGAAGGGATTGCAAGAGAGTAAACTCTGCTGGTGCTGGGGGATTCTGGGAGTTGAAGGCCACAAGTCTTGAAGTGGCCAAGTTTAGAGACCTTTGGGTTAGATGCTAAACCGTTAAACCTTCTTTACAGGGGCCAAGCCAGGATTCCCAGCTCACCCCTCCACATGAAAAACCACAAACCTACAACCCAGGTTTAAAGAGTTGTTGCATACCAGATGGGTGGAAAATAAATGTAACAGACAGACAGACAGACAGACAGACAGACAGAGACGGCCATTCCTGTGCAGGATGCAGCAGCTTCATACCGCCCCCCCCCGCCCCAAAGCGGCTGCCTGAGATTCTGCGCCAAAGTGAGATGTTTTAAATCGAACGTTTCAGCAAAAAGCAAAGAAGGAAGAATTCTAGCAACAGTCACCGGGTTGAGCTGGGTGGCTACAGAAATATAAATTGAGTAGATAAATAAAAATAATAATAATAATAATCGGGATTAATGCAATCCGACATTCGGCCTTCCTGGATTCTCATCCAATGTTTAGGTGAGAATCCACAAAGATTTTTAGACTTTTAGAATATAAAATATGGACTCAGAGGGGCTGGAAGGGGCCTTAGAGGTCTTCTAATCCGCCCTCTGAGCAAGGCAGGGGTCTTCATACCACTGTGGTCCAGGGGCTGTCTAATCATTTCATTGGTTAATCTTTCTGATAAGTTTCTCCCACAGTCTTTCTCTTTGATCGACAGGTTGCAGAATTTGCAGGAGGAGAAAGGAAGGAGACCGGCTGTCTGCAAGGCTGTGGGGGGCCATGAGGGACACAGCTCGGTACTGGTAGGGCATGGGGAGCCCCCCCCCCACAAGCAGCCCCCTTTCCTGTTGCCCTTCCTTCTTCGCTTTAACTTTGAACCGGGTGATGCCCCACGGAAGGAAACCGGAGCTTGAAATGGCCAAAATTTCTCCAGGCTTTGATAAAAACTTTGAAGTTTAGTTTATTAAAGGGGGAGAAGGGGGGGGGGGGGG